AAGCATAATTTTTTTGTATGTATATAAAAACTTGTATTGACTTTATTATTTTCTACAAGCATTTTTCTTTATTTTGTAGACTTTATTTAGCGTGGGATGTTTTATACAGCAAGCCATATTGCAGAATAGGACCTTATTTGATCGGGATACTTTTGGCGTATGTACTATTCAAGAATAAGAATGCGAAGAACATTTCAGGGAGGGTAAGAGCACAATCACTCTTACAGTTGTTAAAAAATTTTAAAAAATAAATCTCAAATCATTGAAAAATGTCGAACTTGAAATATAAATGACATAAGTATTACGTATGAATAATTATTTCCTTTTTACAGTGGATTGGAATTGTGGGGTGGACTGCGTCTTCGCTATGCTGTATAAGTGTAATTTACGGAGTATACCACATACAGCCAGAACCATACTTGTTCCATTTCTACAATGCATTGTCCAGAAGTGCCTTCAGTGGAGGAGTAGCATGGGTCATTTATACCTGTCTGTCAGGAAAAGCGGGTATATCGCAAGTTTTTTTTTGCATTATCGATAATATTTTTCTCTATTAAGCGTAAATTAAAAAGCAGAAGCTTAAAGTTTGTGTTAGGAAATAATAAACAAAAACTAGACCTGCCAAAACGTAAGGACTTGTGTCGAATTGACTGAAATGGAATGTAAGCGGAGTGCTTCATTTAGTTGCGTCATAGCAAAAGAAAGTATAGTCCAACAACTGCACTTTAATTTTTATTAAGTGCAGAACACCGTACTGCAGTTTCTGTGATTCAACCGAGCTGAATCTGTTCACAATGCTTATTATTTAAGGCTGTTTTTCGAAGACTCCGTCGTAATATGAAATTATGCTTTTTTTGCGAATAATATGTTACTTTTAAAGCTGGTGTGAGTTTGCAACTGTTACTCATGACTGCTAAGTCAAGTTTTGCCTATCTAAAGTCAGCGCTGTCTACGCTTATTTTAAAAATGGCACAAAACGTCAGTAAGGAGAAAAGCCACAATTTTGTGAAAATGAGAAGCATTTGTGGTTTAATTTCTTAATATTTAAAAACTTACTCCAGTGCCGCAGTGGGCAAAAACTGATTATAAGGCAGTTAATTTGCAAAAACTGCGAATAAGGCAGTGATTTTGATAATTTATATCTAGTTGTCAAAATGTCGTCCAATTGACGATTTTTAAAAAAGTTTAATAA